TTTACATAATTTCAGAAGTAAAATTTGGGGAGAAATACTTTTATACCGTCAGAACAAAATCATCAGCATTTAAAAATGATATTGATGTATTACATTTTAAATTGTATAACCCTTTTGAAGGTTATACAACTTAAGCTGAAAGGTACTGCACAAACAGGATTTTGTAAGTGGAAAAAATTATCCAGCAAGGTTAACATCTTTGCCATGAGGACATACTTTTTTTCAGGAAACATAAAAAGGCCCAGCTAAGAAAGAAAAGTACATTTTTGACTAATCCCACACAACCCTTACATGTGGTCAGCTGTGACCTTTACAGCAAGGTATACTTTGAAATCAGGGGATGATAAATTACAGTGTTGCCTTTAGAGCTGCACATGCAACAACTTTTTAATGCTGCCTCACAAGTTAGAAAATATATTCTTTGAGTTATGGTGGACGAGACACTAGACAGTTCCTGACAAATACGACTAATGATGCAATTACAAACTGCTCCTAAAGAGACATCCACTCTGTCGGTGGTGACAGGTTCTGCTAGCCAATGTTTGTGCAAATTGCTACAGCACATGCAACTCCAGAGCTGCTTGAGTTCACAAGCAGCCCAGGGATAGAATGAGTATGTGTTCAACATGGCAGTTCAAATGACACTACTAGGTAATACAAAAACGTTCCTTCAACATACATGACTTATATTCTAAAGGTCCAGCTATTAAGCCTGTGATTGGCATGAGACAGATGGACAAAATCCACTTTGCCTCAAACTCTCTGAAAGTTTATATGTATATCCTAACTGTATGTTGTAGTTACCTCAATATTAGACCGTGGTTCAACAACAAAACAGAAAGGTTTGATCATTTGTTGCTGTTATTGGAAAATATTTCTCAATGAAAAGTTGAAAAATGCATCGATCAACCCCTCCATTTACCACCATGGTAACAGTCAAGGTGTCAACAGGTTGAGCTAGGTTACCCACACTTTTCTTTTCTTTGGGGCCTTAATGTGTCTCCAGGCCAGGCAGGATGAGTAAATTATTACAGAATTTTCTGATACTACCAGAGGGTCTTCACCTGTGGAAACTTACAGAGATGCCTAATGAATCATTCTGGTCATGATTCTTGCAGGACACCATGTCCAAGAATGCTACACTTCTCCTAAGAGTGCACCCAGACATTTTGGAAACATTATGGTTACTTTCTCTTCCATACCCACAGATAGTAATCAGAATGTAGATCAACTCAGAGAAAGATTGGCCTTCATAACTACCTCGTCACTGCAACAGTCCAGTACTAGATCTGGCTATAGGCTTACTCCACATAAATCTGCCTGAGGAATTCATCCTCCATCTTACTCTCACCTGTCAACAGCACCAAACTCATTTGGAGCAGAAGAGGCTCCCAACCCAACGGGAGCAATCCACCATTTTCAAACAGAGGGACATTTTTCAGACCTGGAGGTGCTGACTCTTATCCAGAGAGCATAGCGTAAAAGATATTTACTCACACCAAATGATGACAACATACCAACTCTATCTTACATTGAGATATGTCATGATGGCCTGCAGCACCACATCGATCATTAAGTGGCTTGGTAGCAGTGTGCCAGAAATAGTGATTCAACAAAAAATGTGTTGGGAGAATATCTTGTGATGGAATAACCGCTGGAGCTGATATTTGCAGTATTTTGAATCAAAGAAAATAAGGATGTTGTATTTTTTTTTAGGTTAGATGTTTATGTCCTATGTCAATGAATAATGTAAATCAGTTTCAGCGGACAATTTGTTATTTAATGTGCTGAGAGCCAAGGAACAGAGAATAGTCAGTGAGCTTCTGGCACATGAAGTGAATTCACTAATGATGAATGCAATTTTGTTTGTTTTGTACAACGGGAACTCTTCCATTTAGTTCCTTCCTGCTTCAGTAATTGCTTCTCCAGAATCATTATTTCTAATTGAATATAATTTCCTTGAGCATGAACTGAGAAGAAGCAGTCTCCCTTGCACAAAGTGACATTGCCACAGATTGGTGGGGGACCATAAATGAAGCTGTCTCACCATGTCCTTGATGTCCTCTCCAAGGGCTCTGCCACCCAGCGTAAAAATCTGAGGTGTGAATTCTGCAAGTCCCTAGAGGGCAACACTGCATAACTATGACATCAGCCCATAAACTCTTGGAGCGCTCAGGGAGAGCACGCTGGTGCCTACACGCAAACCAACACACATAAACAGTCAAACATTCTCTGGTCTGTTTGCTTTATGAGCCAGAGTGTGTCTGTGCTGCTCAGGTTTATGTTAGCGGTAAAATAATGGTGAGATCTTAAATAGAATGGAATCATGGAACAATCGCATGGCCACTGAACAAGCATAATCAGCTCAATGCCATGTACCACTTCATGTTTATACCGAGGGCACATGTTCCACTGTGGGATGGAGACACAAAATTGTGCAACAGCTCAATTGTACCGTGTGTGAAACCCATACATAAGCTATGACAAGAATATTATAACAGGGAACAGGAACTACTCATGTTTTATTTGTTCTGCTTCTATTCTGCTTTAACTACTTCAACAAACTCTTTAAACAACGCTTAAGGCCATTGCACACTGAGTCCGTGTTTTTCATCCAAAAAAGAAATCCGATCTCATGTTGTTTCAAGCATGTTTTGTTTCGGAACAGCTTCAGTTTTATTTGTTTTTTCGCATCCATCCCCGTTTGTGCGTGCGTTTGTCTGTAGTGTCCCTATATCAAACATACAGCCGGTCGCTGATCAGGATCAGTTGCTTCGTGGAAATTAGTGGTGTTCTTTTTAATGTGTAGGTTCAAGTATAGAGAGCACAGCAATGTATCAAACTGGACCACTGAAATCCTGAAATATACCTGGAAGCCATAGAGTAATTCTGCAGCTCCTTTTCAACAAGACAAAACTATCCTTTATTCACAGGTGAAACTCTCCTTGCCCTTGTCTTGTTGTCATGTGGAAGGACCTCGTTGGTTTTTTGTTTTTTTCAAGGAGTGAAAGAACAACAAAATCAACTTCACTGCTTGATCACTCTGCGTGATGAGTACAAGAAACTTTGTGTTAAACTGGGTATTTTGCAATGAATAGAAAAAAAGAACACATTGGACTCAGTGTGCAAGGTGTCTGTGCGTAACAATTTATTTTCAAATGACGGATCCAAAAAACGCATTTGAAAAAAACGGACTCAGTGTGCAAAGGTCTTCAGTGAACACTGGAAGGACATATTTGATAAACAGAATATGCCAAGTACCGGTACCTTCAGCAGATAGGTGGGCGACTTATTGGCATGGTAGGATCAAGGCAAACCTATCACACTTTACATTACACAGTTCGCAGGTGTTTTATGTCCATGGCCTTTTACAGTAAGTGTTTTGGACCAAGGAGGACCACAAGCTGTATGTCATCAAAGAGAGAAAAAGTTTGAGTGTGACAGGAGTAAATAGTTACTGTATTTCATCATGGTCAAACCCAAGGGAGACGCTTTTTTGTAGGAGCAAAGCAATTCAATATCAGAACACTTGCACCTGTGGCAAACAAGTGAAATAGGTAACCCTCTCCTTTTATCTTGTCAGGTTACCCAGCAGTATAAACAACAGACGTCATCTTCCAGCTAGAAACTAGTATTCACATGTTAAGAGATTTGCTATTCTCTTTGATCTACGTCTGGATTCTGGTGTTGTGTTTTGTGTCTCAGTATGATTTTTTTTTACTCATCTTAATCTTTTCTATTGAACAGACCAGAGTACAATTAGAATTGTATGATTCTTCTTCCCCCGTTCTGCTGAACCTACCCCCTGCCTTTTAAATGTCTTGTGATTTTGCATCAACAATAGAATTGTTTGCTTTTACAATGCATTGTGACATACTGTATAGTATCTGTTATACACAGTGTGTTACCTTCACCAAGATCCCCTCGCCTTAGAGAGTGCTTTTCCATTTTTCAACCTTTTCCATATTCCTCACACTCAAGTCTGCCACTCTTAACTCGTGTCCTTTATTTTTATATTGCTGTTATTTCTAGCATCTTGTCAAACTAAAAGCAAACAGCTTGCTGTTTATCTTACCCTGGGGTACCAAGAAAGAAAAACAGCATGTGGTTGTAGACAAAATTTCTGGTGATTTTACCATTTACTAACATATTCAATCCAACAACTGTCCTTAATGAATCATCAAGGTATATCCCAACTTCAAGTATAAAATGAATAACTGTAAAGGTCTAGTTCAACCATGTATTTCAGTGAGGGCTACGTATTTGTATGAACTTGCATCAAAATCGTCTCGAAAAATCTTAAAAGAAGAATTAAAACTTTTTTGTTCCTAACAACAAGAGGGTGAAGGTCAAAACCAGCAATGGTAAAAACAGAGGGGGACAGTGTTAGGGAGATCTGGGAATGGAAGGGGGGGAGAAAGGGGAAGAGGAGGTAGCGAGGGGTATCAACAACTGTGACAGCTGTGTGGATATGGCGAGCTGAGCCATAACAGGGAGGCTCCAGGGCAGGAATGCAGAACAGATCAGCCAGACAGTGGCTCGCGCCTGGGTCTAACACTGGGGCAGGACCGAGGCACAACACACAACAGCTGCTTAATCCCAAACTTCTGCCTTTAGCCCCGCTCCTCATTGAAACATGGCTTCTAAAAAAAAAAAAACACTAACTTCTTATTCCCTCTACATCCACACATGTTTTTTTCCCTGTCTGTGTCTGTCACTTGCTTGGAACTACAAATGACACAACACTTGTCAGCCTCAGGTGCAGCACTTATCAAAGTGTTTCAATCTTGATCTGACTGACAATGCAATGCAGTGAGACAGCCAAGCACAAAGTCAGTTTTTCTGTAAGCGTAACTAACGGTTACTAAGCTACAAGACGTAATAAAACATTTCATGTAACGCTGAATGTATGCTGAGGAAAAGTAAACAGAAATCTTTCTTTTCCAGACAGGCACAGAAGAAATCCAGATGTCAAGAGCTGGAAGTCAAAGGGCTCTTACCTGCTACAGAGTTTGGCCTCGGCATCATGAGGGAAGAAGAAGTCTGTGGTGGGTACGGAATGAGTCCCTCAGGTGAATGACTTGGGGGCTGTGGTGCTCCTTCTGATATGTTGGTCTGCTGGTGCAGCTGGTCTGTCCTGGACGGCGTATTGGCTGGTGTTGCTGTGGCGCTGTTGGAGTCTTCTTCAGCCACAGGAGAGCAGGTGTCAACCCGCACACTCTGTGCAAGGCCATGGCGCCCACTGCCTCTCAGGCTGCCATCCTTACTCCACTCCAGACTGGAGCCGCTTCGGTCATCGTTCTCCGAAGAACTAGTGATGGTGGCTAAGAGGAGATGGAAACACAGAGGGTATTAGAGCAAGCGAGGGAGGTAAGATGAGGGTAAGTGGCGATACATTTGAGTATAAGATCCTTTGTGAGCTGTGAACATTTATCTGTCCTCATCTCTGCTGAGATACTGAGCTGTAATAGAACTTCTAAATTTGAATAACTCCCTGCTTTTCCTCAGTGCCCTTATCAACATTGTTCACCACCTGAATTTTTAAGACAGGATTGCATGGATTTGTAAAAAATAATTTTCAGAGCCCAGATTCTTCGATTGTTTTTAGCTTTTTTCAAGTGATCATCAGTGGAAGAATCCAATATCATATATTGTTTAACGGAACGGCTGTACTGTGAAACAAAAATCACTCACAAAAATAAATCGAATATAAGAGTAGAGTGAAGGCTTGTGTTGAAAGCTGCATATGCAGATTTACTATCAAACAGGTGTTTTCCCAAAACGACAACAAATCCTTTAATCCTCCCTCTGGCTTACACAGCCATTGAATATGAAGCTAAAAGATGAGTGGGGGGCAAAAGCTACATATTGACAGGCAGCTGGACACAGAAACGTCAGTTCAAGTCAGACAAATGAAACTGACTGGCCAGCTGGCTGTGTTTGCATCACATATGCCTAATCTTGATTTCATAATGCTGCAGCACGTTACATCATCAGAAACACTAATAGATCATATCCTGGTCCTTTTGACTCCTGCTGCTGGGTTTTATGACAGACACACACACACACACACACACACACACACACACACACACACACACACGTATATATACACATATATATATATATATATATATATACATACATACATACATACACACCATACCATACCATACCATACCATACCATACCATACAAAAAGAGGTAATGGACATTGCTAAAAGGGTTTTATACCCAGGTCTAAAGAAAACTCCTCAAGCTCTTTTGAAAATATTAAGACATTGGGAAATCTCCACAATTCCACCAAGGAGCTTTTAATGTAATACTAAGCCAAATTAATGTGCTTTTGAAATCAGAGTCCAACTCAGACTTCAAAGAGCTAAGACATTAATCACAGGCTGGAATCTAACTTATGGACACAACCAAGCTTTGTTGTTTCCATTCCTGCACAGGAATGGGTGCTGCTGGGTGGGATGTTTTAGACCAACTTCCCACTTAGCCATTTTCCTTGAGCAGAGGACCTTTACAATGAGATAGTCTACAACACATGTACACATGTACATCATCATGGGTGGCAAATACTACATCAAGCTTCTATAAATTATTTAGCAGATAGCTATGCAATTGCCCTGGGGGAACAGAATGACTGACTCGTCAGATATCAAACCTAGTGTTATGTGTATGGCTTTGGCAAGCCTTGCTTTTTATTGCAAAAATCATGTGAATCAGGCCCCCAAATAGGCAAAATGTGTGATATCATAGTTAAGAAGAGAACATGGTTAAATCTGATTCCAGCAGATAACTCTTTGCGCACCATCTTCCAATGCTTTCAGAAATGATTTAAGTTCAACCAAGGATAGCTGCAGAATCATATGGTTACAATTTGGCACTGAATCATCACCACAAATTCGAAAGCCATTTTCAGAGTGAATCTTTTACAGTTGTATGGCCACTGCTAGCTTTGCGAGCAGAAACAGCAGATGGATTAATATATCAATAGTCTATGTCACATTCCTGTCAGCTTATATAAATCCCCAGATGTCTTACAGCGCTATTACAAGAGATATAATACAACCTCCTCTGTGGCAACTGTCACCTCAATGATCCTTCATACTAGAACAGCTCTATGCAAAGCCAATAACTGACACATGGTGGTGGATATATACAGCATAGACACAAATGCTATTCAGTCCAACAGAAAATCCCAACTGAAATAAATTGGGTTTAACAAAAGGATGAATGAGTGACGTCACACAAGAGAGTCTCTGTTAAATCACAAAGTGTACATGAGGTAAGAATTCTCAGGTAGAATAGTAGAGGTGGAAGCATTGCCCTACAAAGCCTCTATCGGTCAAAAACTCAACTAAGTGAGCTCAACATACTTGTTGCTACTTGACAACCATTAAGAACCTGGTTATTTCTCACCTATGATCCCACTGTCTTTGCTCTCAAGTGTGGAGCTGGGGCTAGTGATGGTCCCACAGGGGCTGGAGCGGCTGAGAGGGGGCCTGCTGGTCGTGCCGTTGAGTGTGGAACATGGGCTGTCGGTGCAGGGAGACGCCGTGCTGCTGGTCAGCGTAGAGCAGGGGCTGATACCCTGGCTAGTCACAGAGCACTAGGGAAAAAGAGATTGAAAAAACCATTAAGGTACAACAAATATAAGCTCTATCAATCAAAAATATCAATGAAATATGAAGTCAACCCGATATAAACTGTCAGCTGGCAACATGCTCACATTTTTTCGGCATGAGCAGCAACAACTACAACAAATCATTTTCAAACCTTATTTGGAAGGAGAATTGAGAAAACTAGAGAGAATGATTAGATTTGCATATTTGACCTGGATCAAGTGAAAGCATTGCGAAACTTTCTTTCACAAATAAACAGGCCTTTCACATGTGAGCATGACACACAAGCTGAAGGGCATAGGCGCTGCAAAAGAAGCAAGGCTTTAAAATTACACACTGGTGTGTCTAGAAGACCCAAAATAAGCCTACAGAAATGTCACAAGGAAGAAGTCTCTACTTTGTTGTGACACAATGGATACCTTTCTCATGCCATCAAGCCTGTCTGACAACCATACAGCAGCTGAATCTTTGACCTAACTGACAACCATAGAAAACCAAATTAAAGCTGGTTCTTCCTGTTTCCCATCTTCCCTAAACTGTATTCTGATTGCACATAATACACTGTAGCTCAAAAAGTCTATCTTTGTTCTAATGTAAGAAGAGCCACAGCCTTCAAACAGTTCCATACCAAAGAGACTTACTCAGAAAGTTTTAAAGCCATTCATTATGTTCTATTTACATTGTCCATGATTTCAATAATCTTGACTTCACTCATGTTTTAGCAGACAAGGTGCTTTATTTATAGAAATAAGCTACCAAACAAAAATGTCTATAATTTAGATACATGACGTTCTATAATCCAGTCTCTTTTGATGCTTGGTCAAATAAGAGGAATGCTAGGGGTGCCGGTAGCCTAGTGGTTAATGCGGGCGCCCCATGTACGAAGGCTATGGTCCTCCAAGCGGGCAGCCTGGGTTTGAATCCAATCTGTGTCTCCTTTCCAGCATTTCATTCCCCATTCTCTCTTTCTCCCCTATTCCTGACTCTATCCACTCTCCTATCTCTAAATAAAAGGCATAAAAAGCCCAATAATAACCCTTTAAAAAAACAAGAGGAATACTTGAATATTTTATGAATCTCTACCTGTTTTGACATACAATACTCAATAATTAAAAAACACAATTACAAGTCGAGGTTAAACTAAACCAACCCTCATCCTTAAAACACCAACAACCCATCACCTCACTACTTCTAAAACAAGAGGGACTTTCACCCACGAGTTTCCCCACAAAGCAGTGTATTGCCTCAAACAATTCTAATAAAAATCACAGAGAAGCACCACAAATACTTCTAACAATATAGCTGAACTCAAAATTGGTGCTTCACTGAAATATTTATCATTCTTAACCCTAACAGTTACAGTACTCACACATAAATAAGCTTGTTAGAAGTCGCGTGGAAACTGAATTTGCAAAAAGTGCTCCTGTTTAAAGGTTTGTTTGTTGAGTGGTATATTGGAAGAATATAAACAGCCCAACAGGAAGGATGCTGCATTGCTTGAGGCATTATTAAAAACTTGTGGAATGCTAATTTTAGCAAAACAACATTTCCTATGTGTAAGGTTTTTTGCAACAGCATGCCAGTAGTTTTTGCAATATTTACCTAAGGCTGCAGCCTTGAGCTTATGCCACCTTACAAGTTACAGAAAGAGCCAAAAGGCTTACTGACATTAAATAATTTACTGTAAGGCTGAACTAAAAACATCGTGCTGAGTTAAAAATGTTGTTAAACAGCAGTATGGAGGAAGTAAGAATTGTGCGCAGATGACAATCATGCACTTCTACCTAACTGAAAACACACACACATACATGTACACAAACAAACATGAAATAAAAGTGACTTCACTCCTACACTGCCAATCTCCTTTTTGGACATCTCAACTCATGAATTTTACTCATAAGATTCTTTGTAAGTCTATTTTACAATCCAAGATTTACAGGTTTGATGTCAAAACCTGTCTGAGACTCGAGATGGATGAGGGAATCGTAGCGTGCTGTGCTTTGCTCTGTTTTTCACACAGCACCAGCTTAATTAGTGGAGCCAAACAAACTGAGTCTCAGTCCTAACATAACTCTATTTCTGGACAAGAGCTCAGACACTCTAGTTACATACTCAAGAGCCCCTGGAATAGCACTTAAGTTACCGTGGGAGACATACAAAAGACACTAAATATCTTCCCCTAAAATTTAAGTACACACAGTTAATTTTGAAATACAGCATCTTTCCTTGGAAAATCTTTAACATCTAAAGAACACTTTTGACAGTTACCGTTGTTTGTCCCAAAAATATAATTTCCTAAGGTGCCTCCTAAATCCCCATTCAAAGAAAATGATAGTGAAAAAAGGAATCGAGCTGCAACAAATAAATCCAGTCTTCTGTTACACTGTCACAACTCTCTCTGCCTCTCATCCTTTCTCGTCTATCTCTCTATCTGTGTGCTGCAGGAGCGGCAGCAGCTGCTGCTGGAAGAGGGAGGGAGTTGGAGGGGGGGAGGGAGGGAGGGAGAAAATCAAATACCTTCTTTTCATTCTTGTCGTCCATAGGTATGCGTGCCGTACCCGGGATCCCTTCTCCTAATAAAAAGCCAAGCCTTGTCATCAGTTCCTGAGTGGCAGGGGAGGAGGAGCTTGGCTGTTTCTCCACTTGCAGCTCTAAAGACGAGGAAGAGAGAGAGAGAGAGAGGGAGAGGGAGTTAGGGGGCAGATTCCCTCTCTCCACTGGATGGCCCACACAGGGCTGATCTGCCTGCCCTGCCCTCAGCGGCTCTGCTCTGAAATGTTATGCTGCACTCTCCAGCTGCTGATGTGGTGCAGACCAGGAGAGTTGGGGGAGAGAGAGAGAGAGAGAGAGAGAGAGCAAGGGAGTAGGAGAGTGAGAGGGAGATCAGTGGGGGCAATGGCATGTGTGTGTGTGTGTGTGTGTGTGTGTGTGTGTGTGTGTGTGTGTGTGTGTGTGTGTGTGTCTGTCCTGCAACACGCCTTGAGTGCCAATTTCAGGGCTACTGGTTGTTTACAGCTCTCACTCATAGAGCCTCTGAATATCAATGAGTGGACATGGGATTTCTTCAACGCAGCTTAAACTGTTTGTGGTCTTCACTTTTACTTGTTTACAGTGAAATGTTGAAGCACCATCAGCAAGGCAGAGACCATTAGCAATGTTTTTCTGTTAAGATGTATTAAAGCCCTTGTGAAAAGACGGTTCTTTGGATCTATACAAGAAGCAAGTAGACTAAATGTAGAGAGAAAGAGAGAAAGAGAGAGAGAGAGGGGGGGGGGGGCAGATGTCCAAGTTACAGAAGCTTATTATACAGTTCTCTTTCAGCACCTCTCTCCTTCATTTTCCCCTTTACCCTCTTTCTTCCACAGTTATTAATAATATTGGCCGTCACAATGTACTGCCCTCATGAAAACACTCAACACCAACACACATCTACGTTCAAACATGGGTCCATTTTTCTGTAAGAGAACGGACTATACAGATCCTGTCTTCATGTTTTTATATATATTTTATAATGTGCTATGTACCTTAATTGTTCAATTCTTTTACTTAACAGCAGAGGATACATTTATAGCAAGGACAAACAAAAGATGTATCTCTATCCCTTTATCTTCTTCTCCATTACAAAATACACACTGATTTCCCACAAACGTTTTCACTTCACACATACTGACATTAAAGGAGCAATATGTAACACTGACACCTGGTATTTGAAATTGGTACTGCAGCCCAAATTCAAAACCAGAGAGCTTTCTCCCCCAACCCCTCCTCCTTAATGTGCATGCAGGTTGATTATTTAAGGCATAAATGTGGGTGCTACTTCTGGTCAAAGTAAGTAAAAGTAAAACAACAACACAAATGAATGAAAGTGTAAGTCAAAAGTCAGGCGAAGTTAGTTTGCAAAGGGAAATTGTCCAATAATGGCAGCAGTGAGAGCACTAAAAAAATGAAGTGTTTGCTTTACTTTATTCAGCCTCTCACTTTGTAACAAGATCTGCTTTTTGAACTAGAGCATTTATTTTCCAGATTCATCTGAGGCTTGTTCTGAGCATCTGCCTGCATGGAGTGCAAGCCAAAATCACATGCATGCAGACAAAATCTTTAACGAGAAAGATGTTGCAAATGAAACACTGCTGCTGTTGAGTCAGAGGGAAAGTGCAGCACATGCAGAAGCTCTGCAGCACAGAAGCTTAGTATGTCTTGTTTTAGAAAGAGAGCGCAAACACAACTTGTATAGCCAAATAATGTTGAAACTCATTCAGACTCAAGTTCAGGGATACTAATATAAAGAGCCTAGGATTTAAAAAAAAAAAAAAAAAAAAAGCAATTGCTGGCTGTCTTATCCTTGAGAAGTGGATGAATTTTAGACCGAGATACTCTGCATGCCTAATCAGCTAGATAACAAGTGGTGAGAATTAATTCTTCACTAATTTAAGAACACCAAAGGTTCTTGGATTGCCCTGAAAACTTGTGCTGGACATGACTGAAATGCAAACAGCTGGTCAACTATAAGTAATGGTAGCAACTCTGAAAGGAAGAAAAAAAGACATGCCAACCGTTTCTCAAAGGCTTCTGTGCAAGACAAAATAAACAATTATTGCTTGGCAAATTTTAGTCATGTGCTGAGCCTTCAGCCAAGTTCAAAATGTGTTAGACAAGATACTTGTGCAGTAGGTCAAGCCAGACAAGAATGTATCTTTAAGTTAAAACTGAGCAGAACATTTATGTAAGCTCTCTGACACTTCTGCCCACTGGGTTGCTTGGTTACTGATGTAAGTATATGTATTATGGTTGCACTGACTTCAGGCGGGTAACAACCCTTCAAATTTGAGAAACTGAAATATTGTTCAGGACTGAAAGGAAACATGGCAATTGTGACGTAGGCCTAAATGTTTCATGTTGAATATATTGAAGTTCTTGCATATGTACTACCTGATGATGCAAACCTATTGCACATTGGCTCGATTGCAGTTACCATACACCAAAACTAAAAATAAATCCTTTATAGGGAATGTCAGCAGGCTCATGTGAAATGTTTGAAAGGAGCCCTTTAAGGCCCTTGTTGCAAAGATACAACAATTATTACATTATTGTCGGCTGGAAAACAGCACACACCTTTTGAGTTTATGGATGGAGATACTATCACATAAAAGGAAATCACATGCATTCATCATTTTTGACCCTCTGCAACATCCACAACTCCAAATAAGCATGAACAATTGCATTCATCAAAAATGATTTTTGTTGGCAATTAAGGTGTTATAAACGTGTTCCAACATAGAAATACCTGGGTTTTTACTTGATTGAAAATTTGTCTTTTAGTTCCCATATCAAGTGTCTAACAAAAAAGATGAAGATGAAATCTGATTCCTTCTACAGAAACGAAACAGATTTTCTTTTATTGCTAGGAAGAAACTCATTCCAGTAACATTTGTACGAGTGATTTACTACGGTGATATTCTGTACCCATGCTTCCTCATCCTTACTTGTGTGGGATTTTTTAGACTCACCTTAAAGTAGAGCATTTAGCTGGCTTTGAAGATTTTTTTAAACATGAATAAAGGATCAATTGACCATTTTATGCACATGTTTCTCTGCGTATCGCCTCTCAGTTATTGATTCATGAAATATTTGTTTATTGTCGTTCTTTTGTTCTCTGTCTGAAACTTATATGCTGCTGTTTTGTATCTCAACATGAATATTCTCCTGGTAAAATAAAGGTGAGATAAAAATAAATAAATAAAAAACATGTAATAGCTCAATGTTATGTTTTTCTAGAACAGCTTTGCTTTTACTGGAATTTTTTTGAAAAAAAATGAAGTTTTGTGGTCCTGAAGATGCTTGTAGATATTCATTGTAAAAGACTAAATTCTTTTCAAGAAATCAAAGAGCTACTACAATCTAAATCACTCTTGGTGGTCATGATGAGCTGGCACAGCAGTATAAGTAAGATTTGTGTTCAAATTGAACATTACATTGTTCATTTCAGCTGTGTGATTGAATCTATGCTGAGTGACAGCTGTGGGTCAATAGTAATTTGATGTGAACAACAACAAATTGCATGCTTCATCAACTTATATTAGATGGCTACAGATAGTGGGAATCTGTCCCAGGTCTTTAAAAGTGCACCTTACACATCACACATTTATGGCTATCGTACTTAAGCAGACAGTGACAGGCTCTTTTTTTACTCAGTGTGGTTCTGTCAAGGGCATGAAGTGGCTTTTGACCTAAATTTACAAACATTATGGAACAGTAAACAACAATAACTATCTAGAATCAGACCACATTCACACAATCAGACTGTTTCTTTTTAGCTCTTCATACCCTAAATCTATAGAAAGAAATAAGAGCAGAAGTATAAAAAACAGTAAAGAACAGGTGCCTCATTGTTGAAACCTTTAGGTCATAAAGATCTGTGCAGGACCGATTCATCACCTACTCCTCACAACCACTTAAACCCAACTGCCCCTGAGGATCAATCAGTGGGCCTGAAACTGTGCTGGGGCTGTGATAGACCTCGAGTCATCCAGCATACACACACCACAACAGACAGAAAGGCACGTGTGGGATTCACAAGGCTCTTGTAAGCCAAAAAAACGAGGCTCATGGGCCACATGATAACACCATCTTCAGTCTGCGCTCTCTCTGCAAATCAATACACGGCAGGAAGAACAAAAATTCTATTCAATACTGCACACCCTGCCAGTCACAAAATCTTCACATTGCAACCTTATTGTAGGCAGCAATCAGTGTTCATATATTTACTAACAAAAACATTGGCCATACAGCACATAGGGATCTCTCTTTAACAGTTAAATTAATAGAATGGCTGGCCTTGCCTTGACAACAACTTCTGAATGGATTGGCACTGTGTGACTCATTTGCATCATATACACACGACACAACAGGGTTTCATACGGCACAGCTAAATTGTTTACTCTGAGTAAAGGGTCTCATTCTTTCTTTTACGAATGTCATAATCACCAATTCATCACACCTTACCATTCAATTTCTTGTTGATAGTAATGTTAGCATAATAACTCTGTAACAGTAAACATAGCATGGGGAGAGAATTCAAAGTAGATCCTGCTCATGTTAAGTAAATCATGGGATAGCTGTTTATTGTTTTACCTTTATTTCCATTGCAAGAAGCTGCTCAGAACAATCCAAGTCATCTGTTGCTGGTTGAGTGTCTTGCTTAAGGGCACTTCAGCTGTGGTATTAAAGGAGGGACACATGCTGCTCTTTAACTTTCCTGCCAGATTTCTCTAACTTGGCTGTGGATCAAATCACCTACCTTTCAGTAAGGAGTTCTTTTCTTTGACCTTTCAGCCACAGCAGCAGCAGTACCCTGATCTGAGCACATCTGAAGCTTTACTGAGCAGCCACTGCTGTCAATGTAACATTACTGCTGTCACATGCTGTCAATGTAACATTACTGCTGTCACATTTAACACTGCTGCCAATGTAAATGCTAGTGTAGTTGTTTGTCAACATACTATAGGTTCTTCTGGACACTTGTGGAAGTAAGAGAGTCTTTAACAGTTAGCTGTAGTAGTCATTTTCTCCCCAAGGACTTTTTATTCAGCATGGTCAGTGTTGGACCTTCATCACAGGTCTACAGACTTTACTGCAGAATGTATTCATTACA